ATTTTTTAGAGAGCTAGCGCACCTCTAAAAATTATGCAGGGAAATTCTCAAAATTGCAAAGCTGTAAATATTATTACTCTTTAAGGTTTAATTATTATATTATTTATTAACATCGTTCTTTGTATTTTATAGTCTCTTGCTTCTGCTGCAGTAAGGGCTGACCCAAAGTTGAATCCACAACTCATCGTTTGCATTCTTGGTAGTAAAACAAATGGTCTTTCTGGTCTTTATGCTGACATAAAGAAGATCTGCTTAACAGATTTGGGCATTAATTCTCAATGCTTTCAAAGTAAGGAGATCGGTGGACCTCTATGGAAGCAAATTTGTTATAATGCTGCTTTGAAAATAAATGGGAAACTTGGTGGAACAAACTCTCGATTAATTCCAAAACAACTTGATTTTAAAGGTGCAAAACCAGTAAGTATTTTTTAATTGTATACAAGTTATTTATTCCAAATGAGAATTAACCAGAAAACTTTTAATGCTTCTTTTTGATTAAAGTATATGGTTATTGGTGCCGACGTGTTCCATCCTAGTATTGAAGATAAAAAGAAAGGCCGGCCAAGTGTTGCAGGCTTAGTTGCGTCCATGGATCCATATGCCACGAAATATGTTGGCCGATATAGTATGAACAAAAAGTTAAAAAATGAGGTTATTGAAGAAATTGGTAGCATAATTATAGATTTTGTTAAAGTATTTTTTGAGGAATCAAATAAGAAGTATCTTCCACAAGCAATCTTATTTTATCGAGATGGTGTTGCTGAAGGGCAGTTTGAAATTATTATAGAGCATGAAGTTAATAAGTTACTAGATGAGCTTAAAAGCTTCTATCAATCCCGTGGACATCAACCTCCAAAATTAACATTTATAATTATGCAAAAGCGGCATCATACTAGGTAAGTTATTATCATATTAATATATGTTAAGATATGTTTATATTCTTTTATTAAATATTTGATTTCTATAAATTATATTTAGAGCTAAACCAAAGGATGAATCTGATGCTGATCCAAAAGGTAATGGAAACTGTCAACCTGGAACTGTTATAGATAAAGATATTGTTGTCCCACAATATTTTACTTTCTGTAAGTATTTGTTTATAATTTTGTTTATATATTAAATAATCAATTTTTAAATAATTTTGTTCATATAATACTTTTTTTATAGATTTGCAATCTCATTCTAGTCCACTTGGGACAGCTAGATCTGCGTATTATCATGTTATCTATGATGAAATAGGGTTCTCTCAGGATGAAATGCATACTCTTACCTATAATTTATGCTTCTCATCTGTAAGGTACTTGTTACAACTAAAAAAAAATTAGTAATAAATTGATTCCTTGACAATCATAAAGTTTATCAAACTAATTTTTTTATTATTATTTAAAGATGTAATCTCTCTTTGTCAATGGTAACGCCATTACACTATGCCCATAATCTTGCAAATCTGGCAAAAAATCTTGTTACGTATGATGAATTCCCCCCTAAAGCTGCAGGTCGTCGCTCCGCTCCGACTCCGGATCCAGAATTTGTCAAGAATGGAAAAGTATACTATGCTCATAATAACATCAAGAACACAATATTCTTTGCTTAAATTACAATTCTAGAATTATTATACTCTTTTTTTTGAAATACTTTTTTTTTTTTTTATTTTCAATAAATTCGTTATTTTTTACATTATACAATTTTGGCAAACGCTACATGCAAAAGGGGTACTAAATTTTAAAATAGTATGGTAATTTGCTATAAATAATCAGTGGTTATCATTACTATCTTTTGGTTTTAAAGTTAAATACAGTTTTTAGGATAAAATAAGGTTAAATATAAAAGATCAAACTTTAGTTATAGTTAGGTTTTTGGAGTTTTAAACATTTTGCTTTGTATTCCTAATATGAATTAGCTAGTGGGATTTTGGGATATAGCATTCTGCTGATAAGTACTATCGGTTATAATTAGCAATATTCAATTTTATTATGTAAATATTTTCAATATCTCAATGATTTATAGTTAATTATTTTCTATTATATAATAAATATATCTAATTATATAAAGAATAAATATATAAGGTGAATGTGGGTATTGTGGCGAAGTTAACTTTAACGACATGTAGCCTGTTGTCACGTGATCCAAATCACA